TGAAAATCTTTAGCTGAAGCCGGGCAGTTGTTTCGGAAGGAACAGGCGGACTCAAGGCATGATGCCCCCCTACTCTCTACTGACCCCAGAGCTGAGCTGTGGCTCCTGTTCACCAGAGCCCTCTGTAATCCGCTCCAGTGCAGGCAGGTGGCTCAATTTTAATTGTCGTCAGCAGCACTGGAGCTGACCCAGCTGCGCTTGCGCCGGCTGGGAGCAGGGGCTTGCACGCAATCAGCCTGGTGGCTCTGCTCCAGTAAGCAGCAAACCCCCAGCAAGGTACAGTACCTGCTGAAGTTAAGCTACATGCAGCAAACCACAGCCTGCTTCGTTAGGTTGATGCGGTTTTATCACCTCCAAGTTCCTGCCGCCTGTGTTAAAAGCACATCCATCTGCTGTTTTAAAGAGACCACAGGTAACTATGGGCCTGCACATATATAGGTTGTTTTTATCCTTGAAAGCTTCGGCTTTTGTCCTTACAACTATATGTATCTTCAGATTTATGGGACATTATCCTGAGTTTGCTTAATATCAGTCATGCTGTAGGAGATACTGCAGTACGGTGACATTTATGCAACTTTAAAGGCTGCTGCTGAAAATTTTTGTGTTACAAACCAGAAAACCAAATACTAGATTTGATGGCAGAGAGCACACTGTTTTTGTTTTAATACTGACCAGAAGCAGTATAATACTGTTACTGTCTTGTTTCAGGTAAACACATTTTTGTCTCAGATACCCAGCTCCTCACTGTGCTCCCTAGAGGTCTGGTGTATTTAGTGAATAGCATTAAGTAGGTACAGTAAAGAAAATACCTTTATACTGAAGAAATAGATGTTCTTTGTCTGTCAGTAGTTCCAGGTTTATGTTAAAGCATTTAGTTTATTGTTCCTGAGCGGAAACACTCACATCTGCAGGAGCAGGCAGCCTGTTCCCTGCCTTTGTTCTTCTGTCTCTGTGCACAGTGTGCTCCGTGGAGGTGTCCTGTGCAGTGGCTTTCCCTCATGGTACTGGTAGACTTCAGACACCCAGACCTTTGCATTTTCTGTTTTTGTTGCTTTTAGTTCTTCCAGGTCCAGATGGGAAGAATCAGTGAAATATTAAGTACCAGAAAAATCATTTTGCTTCCACATCAGTTTTGCTGCTACTGTTCAATAAAAATTAGCCTGTACTGTCTAGTAGTCGGTTTCGTTCAGTGGTGGGGATAAATATGCTTTGGACTAAAGCATATCTGTATTTTGCTTTTTATTCTCTTGTTGTCAGTAAAAGAGCAATTATTGTTACATCTGTTGGAGGGAAACTCAGGACAGGTTAGTCTCCACCTCTAGGATGGATAGATAAACTAATCTTACGCCTGATAGTGGTAGCTGTTTCAATATTATTTTTTTTCCTAAATCCTCAAAAATAAATTAAATGTCAGGAAAGAACCCTCAGCAATTCTTAGTGAGACCCAAGAGCTGCAACCACAAGATCCACACAGCAATTTTTTGCAAAGAGAGGTGAAGATTGGTTTTTACAGCCCTACGTATCTTGGTACATTCATCTTTCCCTCACACCTACTTCTGCTCTACAAATTCTTCCTCATCTATTGCAGCTAGTAGTCAAATCGCCTCTCCCAAAGAAGACATTTTATATAACATTGCTTTTTTCACTGACGTGGCCTTGCCGTTAGGACATAGCCAGCTCAGTTCTTCAGCCTAAGCTTGAGTGAACTGTCTGCTTCATGATCTTTCTCATTTTCAATATACACCTTCTGCATTCGGTTATGAGCTTGGCTGCCTTAGGACGCCCTGACCACCCAAGCCTGGCCCTGCCTGGGTCGTCCTGCCTGCACCTGCTGAGCTGACTTGGGGCATCATCAGGGAGGACACTTACCAAGTGTTGAGGTGGCATTTTGTAACGTGGCCAAGATGCGGCATGATACAGACCCCCGAAACAGCCACAATGACAGAAGCAAAAGATTTTTCTTCCTTTGACCTTCCTCTGTGGAGAGCCTCTGGGTGCTGGGCTCATGACGGGTCTACAGTCAGCCCTGATATCTGCCAAGAATATTTTAAAATGGAGATCGTTTGCTATTTTAGGCAAGCGGCTCCCTGGTTGTGAATTCAATGCTCCATTGAGGAGTCCCAATTCTCCACTCAGTCATTCCAGTTGCATGCTATAATTACCCCATTGTTTCCTCTAGTGGGTGTAAAACTGACACAGCCTAGTAAAAATGAGGGTTATTTTAGGTCAAACACTCTTTTCAGTAGATTAGAAGAATAATTCTGGAGCAACTATTCAAAAGGACCTTTAGCTTATTAGTATCTACTATTTAGAGGGCTTGTTTATTAATACTAAGCCAGACATCAGTACTTGTTTTTCTGCAAAGGCTGTCCACATTCAATGCCCTCATGGTATCTCTGATATAATTCTGGAAACAGTTTTCCTTGGAGCAACCAGCAATGTTTGCAGAAGTAGACAAGCTTCTGGGCAGGTTTGCAGATGGGATAAATGGAAGAAACCCTGTTGCCATCTTTTAAGACAAAGACAAGCTGACTGATCCAAAACAGAAATCTTCAAAGTTTAAGGGTCCTGACTGTTGCAAGCCATCACCAGAGACCATCACAACAGTGTGATTTCCAGCAGGGAAGACACTGACTGGAAACTGTTGTAGATTATGTAAAATCCATTTTATATTCAGCTGGCATAAATCGACAGGCCAAATTCAACAGACCTTATTTAAATATATCACTACTCTGTGACGGTGGCAGTTTTGGTTTGAAATGTATGCTGAATTTGCTGTTTTTTCACGTAAATTTCAATATCCAGTGGGGAGAACAGTAATTTTCTGTGTTTTATTTAATCATTATCCCATACTGGTCTTGATAGTCTGCTGTCTAGCAGTATTTATCTGTTGCCATCCAAAAAAAAAAAATCACTGGGGTTTTTTCCCCTTCATTGCTAACCCTGGAGCAGCCACTGTCTTTTCTTATTCTGAGAAGATAATAAGATTATGCCCTGATACCCAGACCCAGTTTTGCTTTTCCATTGTTCGGCTTGGGTTGTCTTTCCTTGGTTCAGGCACCTGGAATCCCAAACACGTAGTTTAAACCACTGGTCCTCATCCCTGCAGTGGGAGTAGCTCCAGTACGCTGCTTACAGGCTGATGTCTCAGAAATAATTTTTTTACTGAAGGAGGGGGGGGGGGGGGGGGGGGCAGGCTGGAATTTTTAGGTTTGTGAGCACATTTGCCCTCTACTGGGTAAAATAGAAACTGCTCAGCCCTGCTCTCCCTTTCCAGTGGCTGCTCTGCAAAAAGAGGATGCATGATTTTGTGCAAAATATCAGCAAAAAATCCCTCAGGTAGACCTGGACCAGCTTTTGTAGCCCTGGTCAGTGCCAGGAAGCAGATGGAGCTTTAGCTCAAAATAGTCTCTGTTGGCTGGATTTTGCCTTTTAGTTCTTTGGCTTGTTCATAGTAATAGTCAAAAGAAAACAGGAGGGCAAAGAAATAATGAAGCTGGCCAAACTCCACCCTACCTTCAGCTCCTGAATGGAGGTCTGGGTCTTAGCGTAAATTTAGAAGTATGTTCTTGTTCCCATAAACAAAGTTATGGCCTGTAATTTCAGCTGACAGTTCAAAGCTGATTTCCCGATATTGCCTGTACAAGAGCCTCTAGTACCTGTGTACTTTTCCAACCACAGCTTGTCACAAGCTGAAAGAAGAGTTTCTTTAGTCTTAAATTATTTATTTTTATTCCAGTCAAGACTGAAGTCCTCACTGCATCTGACTTTCTATGCAGAAGAATAAAATAGCATTGTCCTTTCTCAGAAGGCCAGCTACTCTTCTGCAGTCAAGGAGTGTGCAGAGCAGCTTGCACACTGACTGTTGCACTGAATGTTTAAACTGACTGTTTAAACATTTCAGAAGTTTACTTCTGTGGGAGGGCTGTTTTAAAACACATTGAGGGCAGCTTTGTAGTTTGATCATGGAGCTGTTATTCAGTATCAGTCAGAAAACATTGCCACGTGCTTCTGTAAGAAGGCCCCAGACCCCTTTATGTCTCACTCTGCTGGGAGGAAATCACCCACTGCCATGCATTATTTGCCAAGGAGTACATCAGATGCCCATCACAATAACACCTTTTGGTTTTGTCTGATTTTTTTTTTTTTTACCTTGTTAGAAATCATATTAAAGCTGTTTCTTTTTTAAGAATTGTTTTGTACTTTTTTAAGTTAACTGTTTACGTGTGTGCATGTGTGTGCATATGTGTAATACATATGCAGTGTGTATGTTTTTATATGTGTGCGTATGTGTGTGTATGAGAGACTATGTGTGTGTGTATGAAAAATACCTAAACGTATCAGGGCCCATCTTGTACCAGACTCTGCAAGCTGTGCAGGTCCTCCTTGTGTAAATCTCCTTTCCCATATACATGGAGTGATAGGCTTTCCTGTTGGCACAGTTGCAAGCCAAAGAGCACGAGAAGAAGATGCAGGGGGGGCTGCCTAGTTCTGCCTGCCGGGGGGACGTGCTGAAATAAGCAGCGGACTGCTTTCCAGGCTGCACATGCAGCTCCAAAGCAGCCTCTGGACAAAGCTGCCAGGTGGCTGCTGGCTCCTGGTAACCAAGGTCTGCAGCTGCCTCTGGGGAGAGGACCAAGACCCCGTCCCCTGCCTTCCCCAGGCAGGGATGGGGCAATGTGCAGCTGGGCTGGTTAAGGGGCAGCGGGCGCTCCCCTGAAGCGAGCTGGATGCTGCCAGACAACTCCTACCACTTCTGTCCCCCCGTGGTGTGGCTTTGCTCTTGTGTGCCATTCCCTCCCTCCACCTTCACATCAGCAAGTACTTCATCGCATGAGTCCTCCCAGTTTGCACGAGGTGTGGCACTGGGAGCCCTGCGGGAAGGGCTGGCCCGGCTGGTCCCTGCCTGCCTTCCCCAGGCGCGCGGTATGGGGCACCCTGGCATGGGGGCCACAGGCAGCTGAGTGATGTGCTGTGTTTTCCTTTTCTCTCCTGCCCAGGTCCTCGAGGCGACCAGGGTGAACCGCAGAAAGAGTGCTCTGGCGCTGCGTTGGGAGGCCGGCATTTATGCCAACCGGGAGGAGGACGAATAACCACGCTGCAGCGTGAAGACAGCGACCAGGCACGCCGAAACCAAAAAGAGAGAAAGGAAGAAAAAGAAACAAACACAAAAACCACCATGAAAGCAGCAGCATTTTAGTCCAATATTTATTAAATACACAACAAACTCAGTGATGCACATAGACACAGAAATGATCCAACTCCTGGCAATCCTAAAACAACAGGAAAAACCCACCTAGAAAATACCCCCTTCTTCCCTCCATCCCCCTTCTGAAATAATGCAGTGGGGAGGGTCCAGGGGGTGGGAGCCCTCGGGGGGGGACGGGACAAGGGGGCGGTTGTCCCCACAGACCGGAGAAGCTGCAGGTGTGTGGCAGGAGGTCGGCGTGGAGGACCCTGCGGCCAGGGCTCATGCTCCTGCTTTCAGCTGACTGAATTGACAGCCCTGCCTTGCCCACAGGATCACCGTCCCCCCCAGCAGCTCCCATCGGACCCTCCTGCAGTTCCTTTGCCTCCCACAGCCGCTGCACCGAGACTGTCGGCGTTACTTCAGCGTACTCTATCCAGCCACAAAACACAACGATATTGCCCTCTGTTGCTATTTCTTTGAGAGGACTGAAGGGTTGGGTTTGGGATTGGGGCTTTTTTTGGGGGGGTGGGTTCTGCTCCCCTTTCTAGTAATTTATCTGTTTAAAAGGAAAAAAAAAAAAACAGAGGCGGTTATTGCAAATGCACAATCCAGTAGACTCAGTAAAACAGTCCTTGTGTTGCAAACACAAGCCATCACAATTTAGGAGTGGAATAGATGGGGATGAGAGCTAAGCCAAATGGATTACCTTAGCTTTAGGATCCTATATGCTTGCAATATCGCCTGAGCTCCAGGTTCTCAGAGCATATTTACGTAACAAAGTTTCTAAATAGAAAAATCTGTATTTAGCGGATGACAACTATTTTTTGATGGTGGGGAGGGAAAAGAATGGCATATGTGTAAAATCTATGAAGATGGATAATTTGAAGTTGAAAGGTAGTGGGAAAGGGATACAAATAAAGGACATTTAATTTTTAAATGAGGCAATAATTGAACTAAGCCAGACTCTGGCCTAGAAAGAGGTATGAAATAAAGAAGAAAGATAGTTATGTCTTCAACTATATTTATACAACATAAAAAGCCTTTGAAGTAGAGTGCTTTGTGGAAGTCTTCACGTTTCCAGGCAACAAAAAAGCTAAAGGGCATAATGAGTTGGAAGGAGTGAGCAAGGAAGAGCAGACAAGGGAAGAAAACAACAGTTTCGCCATTCAGCCAGTGTTTTCAGCGCTACAAGCAAACCGTAGAGCCTTTAGTTATTGCTTAGGCTTGGGGTCAGCAGTGAAAAATGAGTGTGAATCTGTGTGGGCATGTGGGCATGTGTGTGCGTGCATGTGCACGTGTGCGTGCGGGCGTGTGCGTGAGGCTGGCATACCAGAAAGGGTATGGCAGTGTGTGTACTGATTATTTTCTCCAAAGCTGTTTACCAGCTATAGGGATGAGTGCTAATTTCTTTTTTTTTTTTTCTGAAAGGGGATATAAAAACAAGGCACTGAGTTAATGCAGTATTTGTGATATTAAAATTTGACCCAACATGGTATTTGCATGAGTCACAATTGCAAAGTATTGACCAGTTTTGTAAGCTGACAATTAGGAAAAGAAATGTGGTATTTATTCTTGTGCTTTGTATTTGTATGTAGTATAGAGGCTGCGGGTTTACTCTTTCTTTTCATGCAAGCAATACAATAGGAATATTTTACAACTGGGAACCATAATTTCTGGACTAGAAACCAACAAGTTTGGGAGGTGACAGAAAAAAAGACACTGAGTTTTTTTCTATAGAAAATATTCTGTCTTTTTTATAAACAGTTATTATTTTGACATCTTTTTAAAAAACCATCAGCCAGGATACTGCTCCTCCCTTAAGCCTTTCCTTGGTTTCATGACCTGCTGTGCTGTTTTACCCTGAAACAGTGAGCTCATTTAAAATGAGTACCGATACTGTGAACATACTTCTGGTGCTTTTCTTAAACAAACACAGAGCTTGCAACCAAATGATTCCCCCACCACCACCTTCGGTTCCTCCAGTATGTGATTTCTGTCCATGGACACTATCATTTTGAGGCTTATTTTCAGGGAATTGTAGCAGATACAATTATATATACCCGTTAACTCAGTTCTGTCAATTGTCTCCCTAAGTGCTATTAAACAGAAGAAAACCCTGCTGAA